AAAATACAAACAACAAAAATCATCATTATAAAATTGGCCCAACATTTCATACATGAACATGGATTAATCCTCTATGGTTTGATATATGATTAGTAACACTGATCTTCATTAACAACCTGATTATGTTGTTTTATTGGTCTATCAATGAATAGTTTCTGTAACACTCTCTTATAACAAACATGTTTCATTTTTAGTAGAACAAATAGTGAGTGGATGAATCTCATCTGGTTTGTTTTATTTTGATTACTTTTGTCTCAGTTCACATTTTAATATTTGCTTTGAGTATAAATTTGAAGTTCATTCACATTGTTTCAACATTCTTACATTTACATGTATTTATTGTAATTTTGACACTTGCATTGTTGAATATATTGTTTTATGTGATCCAAGCTACTGCCATTATTGTATTGTATTATTGCATGCTATTCTAGAACAGTCAAGATTTAAATGTGGACACATCTGCAATTACCTGATGATAATTAAAGTATAAGATCTAAGAGGTTGTTTTGGTAACAGATAATTTGTAGATTTATTTTCTGAATGATATTTATACACAGATTACGAGTACTAAAAATATTTCACAGTTATTCATAATTTACAATACAACTGCAATGTTTCATTGTACCATTAATTTATAACTATCATTGGTTTATAACACAGGTACTACTAATTCACACTACTACTACTACTAGTAAACTTGCAACAGCACAACTTACAATACCATTGCCAATAAATTACAGCTTTTATTTTAGACTCTATGAATAAATAAAATTAATTCTGCACCTATGATGATACATAACAAACCTGAGAATATATGCAGCAGTACCAACAAAGTCTCCCCCATCAACAATCATAATTGTTTTGTCTCCTAACACTTCTTCTAGATGAAACAGTATATCCACAGGATTCAAATGCTGTTCTGTAGGATGGTCAGCCATTTTTCTATAAAATTAGTACATAAAGTATAAACATCTGAATCAATAATTTGTTATGTGAAATTCTTAACTGTCTACATATGATAAAAACACTGAAATGCAAAATTGCCTAGCTTACCATACAGTCTTATGTAATGATTGGTACAGTCTTTAATATATTGTCACTGATCAATTATCATCATATAGTAATAATTTTAGTATGGTGTACCTTTATGGTTTGGAAGCATTTACTATGAAAATTACTTCTCTTACATTTATCTTCTATGCCAAAATTGATACCCGGTAAATCTGTTAAAATATAAAGTTGAAGCATCCGTGTAGCTCACCTAAAACACATATGATAGTGGACTCTTCTGAGAAAAAAAGTAATATACATTTTGGAAGATCTTGGTAAGAGAGGAAAACAATATATTTTACACTAATGATGTTAAAATATCATTACAATACAGAACTTCTGCATACTTCAATGAAAAATTCTTTATTGACTTTATCAATATTTTCAACATGTTAATTTAGATTAGGTCATGTAATGAAAGCTCTGAGGTTCAGTTACTGTCAGTTATTGAGAAACCAAGTGAACATTAACCAAGTTAAATAGCTACAGTCAAGCATTATGATTTTTTATTTTTCTGAGCTAGTTCTTTCCTTTTCTTCTGCTTTCTATTTTTGTGATTTTTTCTTTCTTGGTTAAGCCCCTTTAACTTTTCTTTTCTGGCCCCCTTTGTTTATTTCTATGGGACTGCTTTGCCTTCTTCTCCTTGGATTAGTGTAACTGTGGTGATAAAGTAATGTGAAACCCAGGTTATGATTCACTTTATCACTTGTCACTGAGTTAGATAAATCTCCGTGAATTTCACTTTCCTTATGCCAATACATGTAACAAGGATGGGGCTCATTCATAGTGTATTTTGTGTGCTCACCTCCTCCACCACCAGACTTGACAGGATAAAACCAGCTGTAGAAGAAGGATATTTGTGATAAGTATCTGTGCACATCTTCTCAGCCTTCAACCACTAAGGGCCCCATACCAGCCTTGGAATATGCCATTATGGTTACTTAAAAACCTTTACTTAACCATCAGTTTCTATGGGCTCCTTGCCTTATGTGGGAGTAGGGTGTGAGAGTACTACATCACAGTTGGATATGGATTAGTTTCAACTACTCTGTCATTAGAATCTGAGAGTTCATTCAAATGTGGAAGCAGAAATCATGAAAGAGTGATATATATATCTGGTACAGTGATATCTATCTATAGTCCACTTGAAGATTATGATGAATCAGTTTTATATGGAGTGAACTGCACAACACTCAGGGGAGAATTCTCCATGGTCCACTATCCCAGCAGCTGGGAGCTGGTAAGTGGCAAGAGTCTCCCATATTTCACTCAAAGAGGGGAAGAATTCACATAAGGAAGACTTGAAGAATTTGCCCGGATCTCCATCAGTCTCTCTGTCTGGAAAGGTCTTTTAATGGAGACAGTGGACTGGGTGACCATGAAACCCTAGTTTTAAAAGCTGGCACGCACTAGCAAGAGAAGTGGGCAGATGCACAACTCTGATGCTGGCTTCTTCCATGATAGTCCATGAAATGGGAATGGTCAGGATCACACTAGAAATGTATTATAGAAATACCATGAGGAAATTCCAGTGGTCTTGCAGAACACCCTTCTCACAGTGGATGTTTATAGAGCCAGGGCAAGTTGTATAAGCACTTTCAGTTGTCCTGGCTCGATGTGAATTTTGGATAAGTATACCCTGGGAGGCAACACTAGTCAACTATTGGGATCCTAAAGTACATTCATGGTGAGTAGGAATAAGTAAAGAAGTACACTCATCTGTCAAAAGTGTTAGGTTGATTTAAGGATGACAACAGGTGGAAGTCAGAATCCCTCTGTAAACAAGACAACCAAATGTTAGAGTTAATGGGTGACCTGCCTGGAAAATCTCTTCTAGTGGTCAATGAAAATGGGCTGCCAGACAATGAGTTAGATGTCTTACTGGTGAGAAGAGATGTGAAAAAGCCAATGACTATTCACCCCAAGGAGAAGTAAACCATCCGGATGAGTTGGCAAAAATCCTAAGGAATGAAAAGCCCATGAAGGAAACCCCAAAAGGAGGAAGTAGGAGATAGATAGCAATGAATGGCCCAGACTGGACACAGATGTCTGTCTGGGTCAGAATGTTCATAAAGATGGGAGATAATAGGAAGAGAAATGGGAGAAAAGACGTTACTAAATGCCCTTGCAGCTAAAGTCTTAGCAAGGAAAAAATGGTCAGGTAGAGAAGAAGGTATGAGTGGTGGAAAAAGAATTTGGGAGAAGCCTATGGCATCGTCGTCAGACCAACAACAAGGTAAGAACAAGGTTTTGTGAAAAAGAGGTAATATAGAGGGCAAGTATCAAGAAGTTAAAAAGGTCTTGAGTGAGGGTATCAAGAATGACTTTCATGTCCCAGTCAGGCAGTGGAGTGGGAAGAGATCTATGCAGTAGGAAGAAATGGAAGATGGTGGTAAGAACAGGTGAAGAGAAAATACTGTGGTATTGGGAAAGGTGGAATGTTGTGGATGGGGCTGCCTCATACCCTACAAAGGTAGAAACAGACAACCCACAGTCAAGGAGCCATTTGAAAAAAAAGTGAGGTGTTGTGAAGTAGGTCAGCCAGCTGGGAAATGATGAAGGAGAGTCTAATGGCAATAAGCTTACCATTTTCTTTGGTACGCAGAAGAGGTGGAAGATTGACAGGGGTGGGAAAGAAGGAAGATACATATTTGGAAAGTCTGACTCAATGGGCAATGGACCAGACAAATCCCATATGTGAAGATGAAGGGATGTCACATCATGATGGAAGAGTGGCAAGTATGGTTGTACCAGAAAGGATGGAATGGCAGGAAGAGAAAGAAGGGTTTGGTTGAAATAAGACATAGTAATGGAAATCAAGGTTGGGCATGCCAATAAGGGGCCACCAAGAGTACTTTGCATGGGGTGTCCCAAACCAGAGCAAAAACACAGGGGAGAAGGTAGAAAGGCATAGAGGAAGAGATGAGACCAGTCCTGAGTGAAGGCATCTACAGTCAAAGCTGATGGATGTGGAATGGGAGACCAGAAAAATGGAAGTTTGTAATTGAGAAGAAAAGCAAAGTTTAGAAGCATAGGGTCCTGGAACAAGTGCCTTCTTGTCTGTTGATGTGCAACACATCCACAAAATGGTTTGAATGGCCCACAACCAAATGATCCACCAGGAGGGGCAGGAAATTTGGAGCATGCCCATTGAAAAGTAATCAGTTCTAGGATGCTGATATCAAGAGAATGCTCCTTTGAGATCCAAGAAACTAAGTAAGAGAGTCATTCATGGATGCTCCACACCTGGTGAAAGAAGTGTCTGTGAATAGGTGAATATCTTGCTTGGGATAGGGCAAGGGAATGCCAGAAGTGATGTTGGAGTAGTCTAGCCACCAAGTAAGATCCTCCACGAGAGGGAGAGGAAGGAGGGCTTTGATGACCAGATGCTCAAAGTCTTGTAAATGGTGAGGTGAAGGTTGAGCATGGCTGAGGTAAGAGTTGAAAAAAATTGCCAGATGGATGAGATATTTGGTTGAGATAAGGAAGGATTTTGAGGAGCCACCCTAACAGAGCAGCTTCATGATGATGGAGGGAAGTATGATCTAGGAATTCCTCCTGCGAGTATGAAAGAATCCAGTTGCCTTTGTAGAAGTAGAACCATAATTCCAGACCATGCAACTGAGGAACAAAGGTCTTCACAATGTAATTGAATGTGTAAGGGGCTGATGCTATTCTAAATAGAAGGGCACAGAATCAGAAGACACTGCCCCTGAAGACATATATGAGGAAACACCCTAAGGCTGGAGCTATCAAATCATGGAAAAAGGTATTGAACATCTACTTTGGCCATCCATAGGCTAGGTTGAAAAGACGATTGATGGAGGATAAGTCGATGATTGGGTGCCAGTCTCCCTTTCTTTTGTGGGACAATGAGGTGAGAGTAGTAACCTGGAGAGGGGTCATGAACTCTATGGCTTGTTTCTCCATCAGGTTCAAACTGCCCCTTCTAGACATTAAAGGTAGGCTTGATCTGAAGGGTGATTAAAAGCAACAGATTGGGAAAGAGAAGTGAATGGAGCATACATAAGTTATGAGGTTTTGAAAACCCAATAAAGTTTGGAGTTGTTCTTCAAAAGGTATGGAGGTACCCAAAGCCATTCACAATTGTCCTCCTCACCATCAATATCAAAGTGAAGGGGATTGCATGGGAGGGACAGAAATAGAGGGTCCAAGTGGCATCATTGACCTTACCATATGTTGGACAATGGCTATCAAATCATCCACAGATAAAGGAATTCCAGAGTTGTTGGCAATTTGATCAGTGTGAATGATATTTTCATCCATATCAGTTGAAGATGAATTCACATTTAATTGTGAATTCATAATGATTATGTTTAAACACAATGAAAGTAAGTTGAGAACAAAGTTATTTAACAAGCCTCAGACTGTGCCAAGGAAAAGAATGAGGATTCTCATGCACAAATTTAGTGAGAGGACTTGCACAAGGAGGTATGTCTCATTCCTATTAGCAGAGGGTTTTGCTGTATGATATGTCATTATGTAATAATGCAAATTCAAGTGAATACATATAAATTTAGGTAGGAGTATTCACAAGGCTGGTGCATACAAGTCTTTCAGGCAGATATGCATAACTTCAAGAGAAAAATAGCTATCTGAGTATGGAGGTGGGTATTCGTTTGAGAATCATACACCAGAAGAAAGAAAACAACTACAAAATTACGATATCAATGGGAGATGGTCCATTTAATCATTTTGAGCTGTAGCATGAGCTATTCATCTGAAATAAAGGTACCTATGTTATGCACAACATTAAATTTCACTTTTATTTTGTGTTAGCTTCCTGTATTTTGCTACCTCTTCATTCAAACTGAGTTTCCATCTGCAGTATTGAGATGTTAAAATTGAACTGGTTGCCAAGCCTGCACTATTTATCTCAATTTTTATCCTTTAAACTATTTTTAGGAGCCCATCTTAGAATCTATACCAAATTTCATCAAAATTGGTTTAGCCACATTCACACAATAATTTGTGACATCAGACAGATGGACAGATAACTCTGCTTTGTATATATAGATACAGATTGCTAAAATATTGACCTCAAGATAGTGAGTATACTCCTCTGGTAGACACAGTAAAACATTAACAAATTAAATATATTAGTACTAAACAAGTGTCAGACCTATTATGCTTTTCTTTCTCTTCATCACGTTCCTTCAGTTGAATAATCCAATCTTCATCACATTTGTAACCTTTCAAATTATATGAAAGTTTTACAAGAAAACTTCCAACATCTCCTTGCACAGCAACAGTTGGTTTCCAAAATATGTCTGAATTCTAGTTTGTTAAAAATAATATTGTATTTAAATCAAAATTGGTAAAAACAACAAGTAACTTGTCAGATCTTAATGCAAGCCCTTTTCAATGAAAACTTAAGCACAAATATTTTAAAATTAAAGTTAATACACTAAATGATGTTCAAGTAAGATGATTTGTATATACCAGCAGATACCATAATTTTGCTTTTATCTGTTCAAAGAATCTCAGATATTATTACATGCAAGACCAACCTGTTTGGATGGTAAATTTTGGTCAGGTTAGGGCTATTAATTATTTACAAGAAAATGTTTAACTTACTTGGAACCTTCAGGAACTAATAAAGAAATGTTTTTAATTAAGGAAAAACTTCAAAACACAATAGTCAAATTGTCTCCTGCTAGTTTTTTGAAATCTTAAATTATTAATATTTGATGGAAACAAAAGAGAAATTCATAAGTTAGTCATCCACAAATATACTGCAGGCAATCCTTGTTATTCATCATGTATGCATTACTCAGGGCCATGATGAACAACAGGGCCAACTAACCCACTGATTTATGTTCCGATGACAAAAATGTTTCTATATCGAACTATTTGACATAATTTTACTCATTCCTTACAAAATGCATTAATGTACAATGTCACCTGAAAAAATGCAATACTAATAAACTTAATTAATAAAAAATCAAGTTAAAGATTAATTAATTTACACATAACACCCATCAGTGATGGTCTAGAAGCTGACTCTGTGTGGGAGAGGTGGGGAGTTACTGGGGAGAGGTACAGGTGTAGCTGCCTTTTTCTTAATGAAAGAAGTGATGATAAGTTGTTTTGTTTCTTTTTTTTTTAATAAATTTCTTGGTAACAAGAAATTGCATTCTGCCACTGCACTACTGTACTTCATGTCAAGGTCATTTTCAGAGGTGGATTCTATTGCTTTATTGACCTTATTAAAGACATGTGAGAGCACTTTACATGTAAGAACTCTCTCTGTTAGAGCCTCTTTAGCAGTATCAATTGTAGTCACGTCTTCTGCTTCTTGGGCTAGTTCTATGAGGTCTTCATTTGTTAAACTCTCCCCATGAGAATTTAGTAACTCCTGCACATTATACTCAATAACTTCACTGAAACCAGCCTGTTGTGCAAGCTGTACAATGTTGTTGTGAATTTGAGGCATATAGGTTCAAAACTAATGAAGGCATCTACGCAGTCAGGCCACAGCTTTTTCCACATACTGTTCATTAACTTGACAGTCACTTCCTTCCATGACTCTTCAATGTTTTTCACTGCCTTGATAACGTCATAATTGCACCCAAATTCAAATTGGATCAAAAGTTATAATATGGAAACTACAGAGAGTACAAAGTGATTACAGGGTCAGTCAAACTGACTGACCATGTGGCGATAGAGTTAATTTGATTATAAACAAGATTACGACACTTATGATATACAACATTGTTTACTGACAAAAAGGGGACATGAATAAACATTTCAGAATTCTATTCTTGGCTTGTCTATCTTTACACGTGTGGAGACTGTAAGGCCTCCTATATTGGCAAAAACCAAATGCCATTTAAAAGTCAGAGCCTATGAACATATGGGAATTTCCATTAAATTGCAAAAAAAAATTGAATAACCCCTGTGTTTTCCTCTATACGCCAACATAGTGAAGAAACAGGACATCAACCTATACTATCAAATTTCTCTATCCTCTGCAAGTCTAATACTGACCTGAAATTATTGATTAAAGAAACCCTCCACATCAAACAGCACTCTCCAACACTGAACAACATGTAGTCTTCATTTAAATTATAAATTTTTTAATATGTTCTTATTACTGATTTTACCTTTTTTGCGTTGTGTTTTCTTGCTGTAGTTTCTCCCTATGATTACTGTTTAGTGTTTTATTTGTTTAATTATCGTTGTATTTAGCAACTGTACTTTGACAATGTATAAAGACTTATGTAAATTCATGCTATTCTGCTTTAGCTACTAAAGATGGAACCT